GGAGGTGGAGGAAATGTATGAGGATATTTCCAGAGCCATGCATTCCTCCAAAACCCACTACACGGTGTTGATGTGGGACTTTAACGCAAAACTAGGCACAAGAGAAAGCGGTGAGCTGAGGGTGGGGAAATTTGGAGTAGGGCAACGGAACCGAAGGGGCCAGCAGCTGGCCGACTTTATGGAAAAAGAGGGACTCTTTATGGTGAACTCTTTCTTCCAGAAGCGGTCCCACAGGAAGTGGACCTGGTCGAGCCCCGACGGTTCGACCAAAAATGAGATTGACTTCATTATGACGACCAGATACCAACTGTTCAGTGATGTCTCAGTGATCGCAAGGGTGAAAACTGGAAGCGATTACTGAATGGCACACTGAACCTAAACGTTAAGTTGGAGAGGTCTCGTCTAATGAAATCAACGCTCCGTCCCCCCTCGTGCTCTAATCCAGAATCCCGAAACCTTTCAGCTCGAGTTACAAAACCGCTTTCAGTGCCTAGAGGATTGCAATGCAGTGGACGATATGAATGACAAGCTCGTGGAAACCATCCATGCGGTCGGAGCTAAGTTCTGCAAGACCCGCCGCAGAAGAACACAAAAACTCTCCGATCACACTCTTAATCTTATGGCTGTTAGACGGGAGATGAGGCTGCAATCGTTACAGATTTGACAGCATACAGGCAACTGAACAGACAGATCTCCAAATGCATGCAGCGAGACTTACGCAACTTTAACACTGCTCGTATTAAAGAAGCGATCGAACGGAACCAGGGCTCCAAAGTCTTTGCCAGAGATCTGTCTGCCAGAAAGAGCCAACTGTCAAGGCTGAAGACTGAGTGTGGCAACATCGTTTCCGGGACACCTGAGATTCTGAGTGAGATTGAGAGGTTCTATGGGCAGCTGTACACATCATCGTTGGAGCCACGCGCAGGTGTGATTAACGATCCAAAAGCAAGTTTTATCCGACACTATTCCGATGATATCCCGGACGTCAGTCTGAGCGAGACTAGAATGGCTCTCCACCACCTTAAAAACGGCAAGGCTCCGGGCGAGGATGGAATTACAGCGGAGCTTTTGAAAGCGGGTGGAACACCGGTACTTGCAGTCCTTCAGAAGCTCTTCAATTCCGTCTTCCATGGTGGCACTATTCCGGAGGCGTGGAGCAGAAGCGCGGTGGTCCTGTTCTTTAAGAAAGGCGACAACGCTCTCTTGAAAAACTACAGACCGATTTCCCTGCTGAGCCGCGTCTACGTGCTGTTTTCGAGAGTCATTACGAATCGTCTCGCACGCAGACTCGACGACTTCCAGCCTCCCGAACAAGCCGATTTCCGAAAAGGCTCCAGTACCATAGACCACATACATACCCTGCGGCAGATTGTACAGAAGACTGAAGAGTACAATCTGCAAGTTTGCCTGGTGTATGTGGACTATGAGAAAGCCTTTGATTCCGTCGAAATTTGGGCGGTGCTACAGTCTCTTCAGCGGTGCCCAGTTCACTGTCGGTATATTGAAGTGCTGAAGTGTTTATACTGTAGGGCTACGATGGCTATCCGAGTACAGAACCAGAGTACGAAACCTATCCAACTGCAGAGATGTGTAAGACAGGGTGATGTTATATCCCCGAAACTCTTCACCTGCGTTGGAAGACGTTTTCAAGCTACTGGACTGGAAAGGATACGGTATTAACATCAATGGCGAGTACATCACTCACCTTCGATTTGCCGACGATATAGTCCTTATGGCAGAATCGCTGGAGGACCTTAGCACTATGCTCAATGACCTCAATGGTGTCTCCCAACGGATAGGTCTTAAGATAAACATGGACAAAACAAAGATCATGTTTAATGTCTATGTCACACCTATGCCGGTAGTTGTTGGGAGCACTATGCTCGAAGTTGTTGATGAGTACGTTTACCTGGGACAAATAGTCCGACTAGGTAATTCCAACTTCGACCGAGAGGTCAATCGACGGATTCAACTCGGCTGGGCAGCGTTCGGGAAATTACGACACATCTTCTCGTCAGGTATACCTCAATCTCTGAAAACTAAAGTATATAACCAGTGCGTCTTGCCAGTGATGACTTACGGATCTGAGACGTCGTCCTTCACCACTGGCCGTATGAGGACGCTCAAGGTCGCTCAGCGAGCTATGGAGAGGGCTATGTTCGGAGTTTCACTGTGATAGACTCAGAAATGAGGATATCCGCAGTAAAACCAGAGTGACCGAAATAGCCCAACGGATTAGTAAGCCGAAGTGGCAATGGGCCGGCCATATAGCTTGAAGAACCGACAACCGTTGGGGAAGAAAGTTCTCGTGTGGCAGCCTCGTACCGGTAGGCGTAGTGTAGGGCGACCCCCCACTAGATGGAGTGACGACCTGGTAAGGTATGCAGGAAGTCCATGGATGCAGGTGGCTCGGGACCGTGCTTTGTAGCATTACTTGGGGGAGGCCTATGTTCAGCAGTGGACTTGTGAAGGGCTGTAATGATAATGATGATACTCCTTAACGACCGCATTTCTACTGCGTTGATTCTACTCTCCTGCTTCTTCTGCCACACCCAACTTTCACTACCATACGTTAAAGTAGGGACCAACACAGCGTTGTGAATTACCATACGTGCCTTTTTTGACACATTTTGACTCTTCACAATAGAGTGCAGGGCCCCATTTCTATGTTATTTATTTGTTTATTTTTATTTTATATTTTTTTTGTAAAAATGTAATTATCATTTTTGTTACTATAGTTGAAAGTGTACTTTGCGCGATGTTTTACAGCGAAATTGTTTTTTATTGGATACCAATATTCGTGTTCACCACTTTAGATAAGGTTAAATTGTTTGTGTTGTGTTGTGGAGTGATTCAAAACAGTAATCAAAAGTTGCATTGGAACTCATTTCCTTTGAGTAGGCGCAGCCTGTCTGATATCAAGCAATTACCGTAGATTAGATACTTGTATTTAGAAAAATATTTGGATTTAATTAAATCAAAATGTAATACTTAATATGTCATTATCATCAACAACTAAAACAATATCTACAACAAAATGTATAACAACCACAACCACAACTACAACAACTCTATACTTCACTTCTGGAAATGAGTCCCTCTCTTTAGAGAGGATTAATGCCCGATTCGTATTACAATAAATTACTTTACTAGTCGAGTTTTAATCACAGTAGGATCAATTAGAGAGGCTTTTACCATGGAAGGTTATTTGTTTGAGCTATTGAGTCGTTATAGGATAACGAGGTCAATTAGAAAATCGACACCAAACAGCTTAACGGCAGGTGTTTGCAAAGTTTGTTTTTGTTTATATAAAACTGAAGTAAAAAACGAACTTAAAGTCCATAAATACCTACAGTAATGAAGTCTGCAGCTCAGGTGCGTTGTCAAATCTAAGGTATAAAGAATGCATGTAATTATGTTGACATTCTATACCGTTGAATCTACAACAAATTTGGTGCCATAAATAGTTAAGTGTATGGTACAACCCCAGACGGACTTATGTGCATTAAAGGAGTCCTACCAATGAATTATTTTTAAAATTTGAAAATATGATCACTACATCTAATAACTAGTATCATGCCCAAATACTCAAACGCTAATTAATTTTAACATGCTGTTGAGTCCTGTGCTGTCAAAGTGACTATAACACCATGATGTTTAACGACAACATACATACATATATGTATGAAAGTTAAAAATCTTTGACCCATTTCTGTCTAACTTAATAAAGTAAGCAACGACTTAGCTTGAAGTTCGTTTACGCGTAACCGGTAACTGGCAAAGGGACAGCCATAATGGATGTATGTGTAATAATTTTCTCATATTACTGCGAATAGTACTACACATTGTATAGAAACAATTTTAGGGAAGGACCATTATCTCACAGAATACTGGCGTTATGTAGCTGCATAGTTCCTTTGTTTGGGTTTTTTCGAGAGCAATTTCATTTTATTTCTCAGGGGTGATGATGTATCTTCATTTTTATACTTAATCCAATATGAATGAACGTGTTTGTAAAACATGATTAAAACCATGATCTAGTTATATCCCTAGGGATATGGCTATGTACTGTAATATACAAAAGTCGTTCAAAACTATCTTACTGGACTTATACAGGGAAATGTTCATAAGTATAATTATGTTGACCAAGAATATCAGTCAAAACTTTATTTGACATACTTTTTGATTTTTTTTTAAATTAAAAAGTACAATTCTTTAAATTTTATATTTTCTATAATTGTAACGCACGCGCCTTTGGCCACCCTAGCCGCACCTTAAACCTACTGTGAAAAAATAACATGAACAACAATACAGCAGGAACTGAAGATCCAATGTAAATGTCGCGAATTTAGTTCGAGGACTCTATTTTAATTTTTTCAGCAGCTCTTTGTAAGTTGCCTACAGTTTTTTTCTTTGGTCCTGAATATTTTTTTCGTCCCCTTCATCACATGACGATACTCCACAAATAACATGAACATTTTCTAGACGAGTGTGCTTCTGCACATTCAATTTACAATTTTAATTATTTCACCAGATTAGTCTAGCAAGATAGTTTGGAACTACCGTCATATAACTATATTACGGTAAATAGTTATATGCCATCAAAAACATAACTTGTAACAAAAACCAAATCTCGCACTCAGTTCTCAGCACTCTTCTTGTTCTTCTACCGTAAAAAGTTGTGAGATCCACGTAATACCAAGTCGGTTACTCGTAATTTATTCAGTCCCTGCTTAAGCGTCCTTCTGTTTTAAGTCATTACGTAATTAGCTAACCTAACAAGGTTTTATAGTGACCATATTAATTTTAAAAATCTTTTATGTGTCAAATGCATAGATTGGCTTGACCGTCGCAAGAAAACACAATGTATCACTGACATATACGTGTGGAGTACGGTCATCCAACCAGTAATAAACGAGTGTTACAAGACAGCGGTCGTTTCATTGCATTCACAAACATATCATTGGCGACGAAGAAGGAGTACCCACAATTAAAAAAAAATGGCTTATCTGGGAAATCTGCCTATTTTTGACCATAAGTCAAGTGAATGGTCAATTTTCAAAAGCAGACTAACTCAGTTTTCGAAGATAAATCGCGTCGAAGAAGTGAACAAAAGTGGAATTCTTCTCACCCATCTTACGGATGAAACGTATCGCTTGGTACGAAACTTAGCGTACCCGCAAGACTTAGAATCTCTAAGTTACTCGAATCTCGTTAAATTACTCGACGGTCATTTCAAGCCAAAAAAATGCTCATTTGTGGATAAAGAAAAATTTTTTGGAGCAACCAGAAATCCAGGCGAATCATTGGGAGACTGGGCAGCGCGATTGAGAGGTCTCGCAAGCAATTGTGACTTCGGCACTGCCTTGGAAACGAATTTAGATCGTTTCGTCCTCGGCCTGGGCCCTGGCCCGGAACAAGATAAGTTGTTCGAACAAGATCCGTCCACATTGACACTGTCAGTAGCTATGGAGCTAGCCGAGCAGGCGGCGTATGCCAGGCGGGCGAAGGTTATGTTGTGCACCAGCGAACATGCTACAATTAAGGAGGAACCGGTATACCGAGCGAAATTTCAAGGTCAAGGAGACAGCGGCGCGGTTATACGGCGTCCTAATGCTGGCAGGACATCAGGAGGTCGCGACCAACCGAGAGATTTTTCTCGTTGTTCGGTCTGCGGCTTGAAGAACCAACCAAAGTGATAAGTGCCGTTATAAAAGTTACAAATGTCAAAAGTGCGGTGAAAAAGGTCATTTAAAGAAAGTGTGCGATAGTATCAATAGATCGCGGATGTACCATATCGAGTCGGTAAGCGAACCAGAGCAGGTCAAGGACACGTCTTGTGAGGAGTGCCACAATTTTAATTTGAGGTATGTGACTGATAAGCCCATTTCAATTGATGTAATAATAGGTAATCAGTGTATGACAATGGAGCTTGATTCAGGATCAAGTAAAAGTGTGATTTCTTATAATACATATAAGGAAAAATTCTTAAAATATTCATTACATAGTAGTTCTGTAAAAATGTGCTTATATAACGGACACAAGATTGATCCATTAGGTTATATTACTGTAGAAACTAGTTACAATAACAGTACAAAATTGATTAAATATTTTGTTGTCAAAAATGGGGGACCGCCTATACTAGGTAGGGATTTCATGAGCGCCTTTAATTTTGTGATTACTACTAAATTAAATTACATAAGAAATGATTCCGAATTGCATGAGTTATTAAATAAATATTCGGCGTTGTGGCGTGACGAGTTGGGCGCATTTAATAACTTTAAAGTCAGTTTGCAGTTGAAGGCGAATGCTGTGCCTAAGTTTTTTAAACCGCGTACTGTACCCTTTGCCCTCAGAGATAAAGTCGAACAAGAGCTAAACCGATTAATGCACTTGGGTATCCTTGTTCCTATTAATTATTCTCAATACGCCACCCCCATTGTGCCAGTTTTAAAAGATAATGGCCAAGTTAAAATCGCAGGTGATTTTTCTATTCCATTAAATAAGGATCTCATAATAGAAAAATATCCCCTGCCTCGAATTGAAGAGGTTTTTGCCAAAATTGGAGGGGGTGAGCACTATAGTAAAATTGATTTAAAAAACGCTTACAACCAGTTCGTCCTAGATGACGCGTCTCAGGAGCTCACGGCAATTAATACGCATAAAGGACTTTTTAAATACACTAGGTTAGTGTACGGCCTTTCTAGTGGTCCAGCCATTTTTCAAAGGAGCATGGAGACACTCTTATCAGGAATAGACGGGGTAAGCATATGGCTTGATGACATTTGTGTCACGGGCCCCGATAGAAATTCCCACATGCAGCGGCTAAGTAAAGTCCTAGATAGACTATGTAAGGCAGGCCTACGTTTACAAAAAGACAAATGTCAATTTTTCAGAGAAAGCGTCAGGTATTTGGGTTACGTGATTAGTAAAACGGGATTAAGGACTTGTCCGGATAAAGTACAAGCCATTCTTAGTGCACCGGAACCAAATAACGTCACCGAAGTTAAAAGATTTCTAGGAGTAGTCAACTACTATAGAAATTTTATTCCAAACGCCTCTTCTGTACTGAGTCCCCTACATGAGCTATTACGTAAAGATGCAAAATGGGAATGGGGAAAACGGCAGCGACAAAGCGTCGCAGCGATACGGCGCGAACTGGCGTCAGAACGCGTGTTGGCTCATTTCGAGCCAGCGGCGCAGCTAGTGCTGGCGGTGGACGCCGGCCCGACCGGTCTCGGCGCCGTACTCTCACAAAGGGCGGAGGACGGCATCGAACGCCCGCTAGCGTATGCATCTCGCTCACTTACGAGCAGTGAAAGAAACTATAGCCAGATACAGAAGGAAGCGACGGCCATTATCTTCGGGGTCCGACGCTTTCATCAATATTTGTACGGTCGCGAAGATCCTTTTATCCTGAAAACCGACCACAGACCATTGGTATCAATTTTTAATCCTAAAACAGGTATTCCTGTTACTACTGCGCTAAGACTGCAGCGATACTCAGTTATATTGTCCGCTTATAACTATGTCGTACAATATGTATCTAGCGGAAATAATATTGTGGCCGATTACTTCTCACGCGCTCCTGTAAAATGCGTCAACGAGTCGTTGAACGATATAGATACAAACGATATAGACACGCATTATGCAGTTAGGTTTCTCGATGCGTCATCGCCGGCCATTTCGGCCCGCGACGTTGCGCAGACGACGGAGCGAGATAGGACGATTAAAACCGTGCTTAGGTACATGCAACACGGGTGGCCGCGTAAATTAAAATGTAAATCTATTTTACCTTATTTTCATTGCAAGTCCGATTTACAATATGAGAATGGTTGTCTTTTTAGGGGACATAGGATTGTTATACCACTCGGGTTGAGAGATAGAATGTTACGCGAGCTTCATGATTCTCATTTAGGAATAACCAAAACTAAATGTAACGCTAGAAGTAGAATGTGGTGGCCCGGTATTGACCGGGACATCGAACGCTGGATCGGATCATGTGCGACGTGCGCAAACGTGCGGGCCGCCCCGCCGCGCGACCCCCCGCGCCCTGGCCTCCCTCCACCGCGCCATGGCAACGAGTGCACATTGATTACATGACTGTAGGACAGAGGGTATATCTGGTAATCGTCGACTCCTACAGTAAATGGATAGAATGTCTATACATGCATAACGGAACCTCATCTAATGCTTTAATAACAAAATTAAAAGGCGTTTTCTCTAATTTTGGAATACCAAATGTTTTAGTGTCCGACAACGATGTAAAAATTAATTCACTCGAGTTTCAGACATTTTGTTCATCGAATGGCATAAAATACATGACGTCACCCATTTACCATCCGCCAAGTAACGGTCAAGCTGAGAATTCAGTAAGAACATGTAAAAAAATGTTAAAATGTTTATTAATTGACAATTTACCTTTGCACAAAGTTCACGACATGTTATTAGGGTACCTATTTAACTATAGAAATACCGTGCATTGTACCACGGGTGAAACGCCGGCAAAGTTAATGTTCGGCAGAAATTTGCGGTCGCGTCTCGATTTGATTTTACCCTTAAAAAATCATAATTCTAATTCACTTACGGCAGCCGGGAAAAGATCTTTTGAAATCAGCGATATCGTTTGGACCCGATGGTACAGTGCACGAAAAGAATCTTGGCAGTTAGGTAGAATAAAGGAAAAAATAGGAAATAAAATGTATAAAATTCATATTAGGGACATGGAGGTTTGGTGTATTAGACATGTGGATCAAATTATTAGATATACGGGTTCAGACAGTAGTCGCGACGATATTGTCGCTGCTGAGGAGACACGTTGCCCCTCCACATCGCCGGCTACTGTAAATGCACACCCTCCCGCGCAACAGCCTATGTTTCCGGCTATAAGTAATACGGAGCAAAGTATGGAACAGGCTACGAATATGCAGACGGCTGAGCTGCAATCGCCCTCGAATACTGGAGCGCCGAATCTTGGTTCATCTGACCACGGTGAGGCAGAAGAAGTAAGTGACTGTGAGACTAGGGAGTATGAAAAGGACAACATTGCCCCCGTAGAAAGGCCTATGGCAGAAACGGAGGCTGTGCCGTCCACAATTGGCGATTCCCATGTACCGCCAACATTGCCACTTTTAGCCACACGCCCGAAACGTACAAGACCAAGGGTGGATTATAAAAAGTATTTTTAAGTAGCGATTGTTAATTATAGTTACGCAGAGATCAAGTTCGCTAATTATTGTTAATAGTTATTATTAGTTGTTAAGTTTATGTAGACAAAAATTTTTACTGTATTTAATTAAGAAACCTTGTTACCAGGTTCCAAAATTAAGTGGGGAGGAATGACATATACGTGTGGAGTACGGTCATCCAACCAGTAATAAACGAGTGTTACAAGACAGCGGTCGTTTCATTGCATTCACAAACATATCAATCACACAAGTAATACATACTATAATAAATTAGATTGCTTAGTGCGATTGCCAAGTCAATCTATATATTTAAAACATATAAGAATTTTAACATTTATAAGGTCACTATAAAATGTTGTTAGGTTAGCTAATTACGTAATAATTTAAAACAGAAGGACCGTTAAGTAGGGACTGAACAAATTAACCGACTTGGTATTACGTGGATCTCACAACTTTTTACGGTAGAACTGAGTTGCGAGATTTGGTTTTTGTTACAAGTTATGTTTTTGATGGCATCTCATTTCTTTTTTTAGATAAGATAGTCCTACTTTTTTTCTTTTCCGGTACCTTCTACTTCTTGAAAACCAACAACGTACCTATCTACACCTATATCATACAAGTACATGATTTCTGATTCATTCACTGCAAATGTAACTTTGTAATTCTATACATTTATATGGGATTACAAAGTTATTTATGCAGTTAGTGTATCTAGAAAAGTGGACCGAAATTAAAAATATTTTAGTTTTTCGTAATTTATACACTAAACACTAATTGTATTCTAAATTTGAAGCTTCTATGTCTGCTAGAAGTTCCTTAGAGTTTGGATGATTGGTCAGTCAGTGAGTGACAAAATTATGAAACTTTGACTAGTTATACTTCTTAAACTACTGGTTCAAATTGAATGAAATTTGAAATATACCAAGCTTATACGATTTACACTTGGAAAGTGAAACTCAGGCTTCTAGTTTTATCAACAACGAAGTTATAGGGGGTCAAAAATGGCCCGAATTGCTTCGAGAAAAGTATGGTGCGGCCGTAACGCTTTTTTTGCTCGACTTGGCGGGAGCACTGCCGTGCCCCCAGATCCCTAGGAATATAACTATATTAACCATCTTACTGCAACATATCGACCACAATATCCATTTACTATGAGGTGCACTGGGTGTTCGTTTGTTTAAAAATATACCTTCATCATCATCATCTTCATTACAGCCCTACACAAGTCCTCTGCTGAACATAGACCTCCCCCAAGTAATGCCACAAAGCACGGTCCTGAGCCACCTGCATCCATCAACTTCCTGCATGTCTTACCAGGTTGTCACTCCATCTAGTGGGGGAGGAGTCGTCCTACACTTTGCCTACCGGTACGAAGCTGCCATTCGAGAACCTTTTTTCCTCATTGGTTATCGGTACTTCGAGCTATATGGCCAGCCTATTGCCACTTTAGCTTACTAATCTGTTGGGCTATGTCGGTCACTCTGGTTCTACTGCGGATATCCTAATTTCTA